TGACATGTCTCCAAGTAAAGATTGAACACCAGCACTCTTATGGTAAGTTGCAATCTTTAGAAATTCCAGTTTGGAAATGGGATCATATCACTATGGATTTCATAACCAAATTGCCGAGAACATCGAAAGGGTATGATGCTATATGGGTGATAGTAGATCGGTTATCTAAATCTGCACACTTATTACCTATGAAAGAGTCATATTCAATGGAGAGGTTAGCAAAATTATACATTGATGAGGTAGTGACACGACATGGTGTTCCTCTATCAATTATTTCTAATAGAGATAGTCGGTTCACTTCTATGTTTTGGAAGAGCTTTCAAAGAGAAATGGGTTCACAAATTAAGCTAAGTACATCTTATTACCCTCAGACTGATTGACAAAGTGAACGAACTATCCAAACGTTAGAAGATATGTTGAGAGCATGTGTCATTGATTTTGGAGGGTCATGGGATAGTCATTTGGTTTTGGTGGAATTTGCGTACAACAATAGTTACCATTCAAGTATTCAGGCAGCACCTTTTGAGATTTTGTACGGACGCAAATGTCGAACTCCTATATGTTGGAACGAAATAGCTGAGAAACAGTTAGCTGGACCTGAATTGGTTCAGCAAACTGCAGATAAAATTGAAGTAATAYGGGAACGAATGAAAGCGGCACAAGATAGACAAAGAAGTTATGCAGATAAACGTCGGAAGCCGATTGAGTTTCAAGTAGGTGATAGAGTAATGTTGAAAGTATCACCTTGGAAATGAATAGTACGTTTTGGTAAGAAGGGAAAGTTAAGTCCAAGGTACATTGGACGATTCCTTATTATTGGAAGGGTTAGGGAAGTGGCCTACAAATTAGAACTTCCTTTGGAACTAAGTGGAATTCATGACACGTTTCATGTGTCAAATTTGAGGAAGTGTTTAATAAGTCCAGATGTAGCAGTACCATTAACTGAAATTAAGGTAGATGAGAGATTATATTTTGAAGAAACCCCTGAACAGATTACTGACTATAAAGTAAAGAAGTTGCGAAACAAAGAAATTGGGTTAGTAAAGGTTGAGTGGCGTTATCATAAGGGACCAGACACCACCTGGGAATCAGAGTCTGAGATGCAGATGAAATATCCCTACCTTTTTGCTTAAATGGAATTCTGGGACGAAATTCTTTTAAGGAGGGAATGTTGTAATATTCGGGTTATTTTATTAGATTCAATAATTTAAATCTTTATGTTTATATGAATATTTTATGTAGAAGTGTGTGGGTGTGGGTGACGTAGTTATGTTAGCCGRCCTTTGAGGGGCGGCCTATGTTTATCTGAATATTTTATGTAGAAGTGTGTGGGTGTGGGTGACGTAGTTATGTTACCCGACCTTTGTGGGGCGGCCTATGTTTATCTGAATATTTTATGTAGAAGTGTGTGGGTGTGGGTGACATAGTTATGTTAACCGACCTTTAAGGGGCGGTCATACACTTACTATAAAGAGCAAGTGTGTGTGAAAGAAAAAGAAGCTTAGCACACCTTTGAAACACTTTCTATATTAGGAATGACTCCTTGGAGAATCATACGGATTGGCAGAAAAAGAAGAAGAGAATTCATAGCTAGGATATATGATTTCTAAGGTGAGTGTATTAAAGCTTTGAGTATAAATTGTTTACATACAATTTAGTAGTATTTGGAACTGGTCATTATGAATATAATATGTATGTGGATTATCTGTATATGGACAATAAACTGTTCAAGTGTTGTCCTGACTTAATTATAAGTCTGGTTAGTTAAACCAGAGGCTCTGGTTGTGAAACCAAAAGCTCTGGAAGAGAGACCAGAGGGGCTCTAGTAGAGAGACCAGAGGGGCTCTGGTCGAGTATGTTGAAATATATTACAAGTCTGGTTAGTTAAACCAGAGGCTCTGGTCGTAAAACCAGAAGCTCTGGAAGAAAGACCAGAGGGGCTCTGGTAGAGAGACCAGAGGGGCTCTGGTCGAGTATGTTCAAATATATATTCTAAGTATGGTTTGGAACCAGAGGCTCTGGTTGTGAAACCAGAAGCTCTAGAAGAGAGACCAGAGGGGATCTAGTAGAGAGACCAGAGGGGCTCTGGTCGAGGATGTTAAAATATATTCTGTCTGATTAGTTCAACCAGCGGCTCTGGTCGTGAAGACCAGAAGCTCTGGAAGAGAGACCAGAGGGGCTCTGGTC